AGGGTAAGTCATACAGAGAAACAAATGTGCGGGATAAACTGGAGCTGAGTTTGCAGTGTTTCCGAAGGAGCTCTATCTAGGAGGGAATACTGATGTGGTCCTTAAGATAATCAGCTGGAGAAGGGCACTGAAAGGCAGTGGGCTCTGTTCTCCACACTTGCATTACAGGGTAAACAGTGAATGGAGCACTGACACGGCCCACAGAGTAAACAGTGAATGGAGGATGCATGTCTGGGCTCAAAGAAACAGGACAACATCTGGGTACCTACTGACTATGAACAGGAGTTTTTCTCCCACGCCCAGAAGATGAGCTCCTGCATGCCTCGCTGAGCAGCATGCTCAAAGAAACATGACAAGGTTACCAGCAATCACCAAACACTTCAGAAAGAAAACCACGGGAGATAAAATTTACAATGGAAAGGAAAAAAATACTGTTAGAATAGTAAACAGAAAACAATAATGTTTGTGTAATTGCCATCAATGAAGAAATCAGTAAGAAAATTGTACTTATGAAGCAGAACGTTGCTATGAAAAAGTAAATCAGCAATCTTGAGAAATAAACAAATTCAAAAAATGTGCCTAATAAGCAGAATGAAAACTTATGAAATCATTTAGTAAGGAGGATGATTTACCTATAGGTTTCTCCCAGAATGCAATGAAAAAGGCCAAAGAGATAAGAAGTAGAAGAAAAACAATGAAGAGATACAGAGAACAGATCTAGAATTTCAAAAATCTATTTGATACCTATCCCAGAAATGGAGAGCAGAAACAATATAGAGGAAGAAATGTAAAAAGAAAATAGAAACTTCCCTGGACTTTCTTCCCACCTTGAGTGAGACATATATTTTGAGATTGAATGGGTCAAGCGAAGGTCATACAAGATAAAAACATAAACACTAAAATTTCTTTTCATGGGGAGGAGAGGAGAGAGAGAAGAGCAAAAGAAATTAAATGGAGCAGAGAAGATTCAAGGAGTCAGGAAAATAAAGGTCAGAAAACAAGAAAACATAATTAAAGAGTAAATTATGTAGCAAAGATATGTGCAAACACATTGGTGATCACGATAAATGAGACGATATATAATTAACTATTAAAAGGGATTGTGAAATGGGATAAAAGAAAAATCAGCCATTTTTGTCACTAGAAATCTAATCTAAGCCAAGTGACAAAGACAGGTTAAAATTAAGTGACGGAAAAAGAAATTGCCACATAAATTCTAACAAAATAGCTAGGATTAGGATTACACAAAAAAAGAAATCAAGCTGAAAAGTCTTTAAATGGGAAGAGCAATATGTTTCGTATTGATAAAAATCTGTACTGAAAGTGCAGGCTCCCCACAAGTCTCATTGGTTGGAACTACTTCCCATATCCATGGCTGAACCAATCACAGTCAAGGAGAATGGAATTCCCACGAACAGCTAGACCATTTGGGATTAAATCCCTGGGACCAGGGTGATGTCAGCCTTCTCTGAAACACAGGCCATGCTAAGTAGGATGGATTCCTGAAGAAAAAATTAGGGTTTTAGGAGAGAGGTAGGCAATTAACAATATTTTATACACCACTCTGAAGTTATCACAAAACACAATTTCTTTCTTTTGCATCATTACTACAAAGTGATTAATCACTATAAAATAACAAGTGCTACATTTCACTTCTTCATTTCCTTTAAATAATCTATCTCCTCCATCAAAATAAACTTCAGGAGGGCAGGAACCTGGTCTATTCTGCTCTTAATTGAAGCTCCAGGTTTTTGCACAAGGCTCGGTATATGTCACTTGGCTTAAATACGTGTGTGTTGATAGAATGAATGAATGAATGAATGAATGAATGAATGAATGAATGAATACAGAAATAGATTATTCTGAGATAGTTCAACTAGAACAATATAATAAAAAGTGCCAGAAAAGGGAAACTTGAAAGTGGTGTAAAATACTGTTACAGAGGTGCAGGGAAATAGGAATTCCAAAAAGACCACTGAATTGAATATTCAGAGAGATTTTATCTTTAGAGAGCAATTTCAGTAAGAGCATTTGTGAATATAAACCAGAGCATAAGGAATTAAGGAAGAAGTGGGTAATAAAGACATGATTACAGTAAGATTACTTTTGCCTTTATTAATTTGGTAGGAACAGAAAAGCTGATATCTCTGAGGAGAGAAGAATCAAGGAAGGGGTTAGTCGGTCTGTTTAATTTTAGAATGGCAAGAGTGAGCATATATGTTGACAAAATACAACCGGCAGTCAATGGAGAAGAATATATTGAAGGTATTCAGGGAAGGAAATTATAAATAAATTTCTAGAAGAGGGAACGGAATCAAACGTACACTTGAGGAAGAACCTACTGCTCCCAGAGACCACAGGAACGGAAGAATGTGAAAGTCAGAGACATAGAGAGCAAAATAAATGTGCTGCCACCTAAGCTTAACCAAGGTGATCTATTTGTAAGCTACTCCAAAGCAGTTATTCAATAAATATCTGTTGAATGGAGTGAACAAGCACATGAATAGACACAATGATAGAAATGTGTTGTTTTCTGTATCTTCTTGTCACAGACATGATTCTTGTTTTCTTATGTTAAACCATTGACATGAAAAGGAATGACAATCAGGGAATGCCTTCAGTGGACATTTTCTAACAGATTGAACCAAAACCTGATAGACACCCTTATGCATCCCACTATCACTGAAATCCCTAATGATGAAATTATCTATACACTAACATTATTCATTTTACTAAAAGCTACAGTAAGCAAAGGGAAATAATTTATGTGAAAGAAAAATATGTTTAATCACTCACCAAAAAAGATAGATGTATCAGTATTTGTCTAATTCCAGAAGAAAAACAAGATTAAGAAATAAAAAGCTTAATTTTCACTGTTTAAAACAACTGCTCAACCTGAAAATTAAATTTCAGATCTGATTTTCTCACCTGTTGAGCATTTGCTCTGTGCAGTGTCCTACTTTTAATGGTTCTTACATTCTAAATATATACACCAAACTTTATAAAGCACTATTTAAAATTCACTAGAAGTTACTTTAAAAGAAATCATATTGACACTGACTTCACAAAACTCCCCTCAGTATCTATGTACCTCAGAACTTGGTATTAAGTTAAAAGCTCACAGAAACATATCATAATAACTCTGTACAGACTCAGATGGGTAGTAGACTGTTGGGGTTATCACTTTATGAGGAGTGTACATGTCTAATCATGATGTTGTTTTGTACACCTGAAACTAATAAAAAAAAAGAAAACAGAAAGTAGAACTAAAGAAATAAGACACAATAGTGATTTTTAAGACAATGAAACAATAAAGAGGCTCTTGTTTTTGAGAATTAATAAAATATTATATTTCTGACAAATAAAATAAAATAAAAAGTCTGCTTAAGTGGAATTAGGAGTGACATTTTTCTCTTTGTTAAATGTTTTATTTGCCAGTTTTCTTATCGTGACAATATGTTATTTTTATCAAGATAATATCATGGTGATCATTTCTTTAGGTATGTAAATGTTGAGTAACTATGATGTACACTTGAAATTACTATAATATTGTATGTTAGCTATATTTTCATAATAATCTTTTAAAAATCACAGAAACAAATTAACACTTTCATGTCATTTGACAGGCATTATTGAAAATACAATATAAGTATATACCAGATTTAGCTTCTACTTGCTAATTACTAGAATATTACCATAACATTGCTTATTTAATTGTGGGTTTCAATATGAAGATTTTGTCAAAAAAAAAAGATATTTGTTTGTTTGTTTTTTAAATAAAAAACACCAGGAGAGAAAAATGTTTCATGGCTTCTTCATCTCTTATGTAGTAGCTTAATAACTAAATTTACAATTTACATTATTCTTTCAACAATTTAATTACTACCTACTATGTGCAAAACAGCTTAGTGACAGTTATTTATACTGTATGCTGGTAAGGGATTGACCATTGTTGAAAGGAAGGTAGCACTCAAAAGGGTCAAATTATAGCTACAGCAATTAATACATATAGTCCATTTCATAATGCTATAATGAGTTACCTTGGGTAGAAAAGCCATGATATTAAAAACAAATTAAGCTCAATCAAGGAAATCCACATGGGAGCTAGAATTCAAGTTAATTGCTTAATTGAAGAAATACGATTTGAGAGATATCCTGGAGGAAATGACAGGATATATCAACCACCAATATGGCAAGAAGAAAACTTGGGAAATAAGAATTATGGGGAAGATAATGGTCTCCAAGTAGCTGAAGAATTGATTGTGCTTTTTGAAAGGATCTGGGATGAAGTGGTACATTGGAGCTAACCGCCGGTCTTCCTCGTCATTCTCATTCTCAGGCACTTGTGGCCTTACCTGAGCCTATGTATCAAAGGCAGGTGTGTCCATCCAGTCAGAACACTGAGTGTTTTCAGCTACTATGACAGAAATTTCATATTCCAGTGAGGATTACCCTTTTAAGCACTTTTCTTAGGAGGCTCTGCATTCATTGCACTGATTTTTATCACTCAAAACTTTTGGAATGACTCACATATTTGAATACATGAGTAGAATATCTTTATGTTTTACTATATGTGTATTTTTAGGTGACTATTGAAGCCAGTTGTTTCATGAATGTGTACACCCACTTTATTATGCATTATCGTATTCTATGGACACATACCACATATCTTTGGTTTAAAAAATGTCAGTGACATCAGTCATGTTATATAGATGAGAAGTTCACAAGTGTTCTATTGTCTCCGTGAACTGCTGGCACCCATTATAGCAGACACACCGTAGTCCTCCTGAGGCGAAGTACTGTGAGGGTTTTGACCCGAATTAGCCACCCCATCACCACACTCTTAAAACACACCCACAGCTCACCTTTTATTTTTAATGCTTGTGTTATTTTTTTCAGGATTGTCATGGATGTAAACATTTCTGTTCAGAAACCCTTCAATATGATCTAGTACTACAGGGAAAGAATTAGCAATGACTAATAGAGATGGTTTTGCGTACCTTCTGATGTTGTTCTTCCTTCATCTTTTGCAATTTTCGATTTTCTTCTTCCTTTAGAGAATCCTTATAAGCCTGGCTTCTGGCCTGTAAAGACATAGGGGTAAAATCAAAGGAAAGAGCATCACCACAATGTACTACGAGTCTTCCCACCATGGGTCTGGTTTTAATAACTCAACCTGTAAGCTGAACATACAGTAGGCTCTCCAAACACAGTTCCCTATTGAGTGATTTATGCATATGCCTGAAGATGTCCCTTGGGATATACAAAAAAGAAGGCTAAGTTAAGTGCATTTTAAAGGATAATCTAAATATTTACTTAACTAAGCTTTAAAAATATCCCTGCAGAGAGAGTCACCATAGTGTATTCTTTCTAATGAGAAGGATTTGAAATAGAGGAAAGTTAAATAATTTTTAAGACTCTAACTAGCTGATCAGTCTATCAGAGACAAGCCATGGTGACACTGATTTTGGCAGCACTGGCTAATGGTTTCCTATTAAACAGCCTGTCAACTGGTGATTGATACCATGTGATCTTAGAGATGTATTTCTTTCTAAGTCTTTGCATCCTTAGCCTGTACCTAATGCTTATTTCTATTTCTGAGTGGGAAAACAAGGCCTGTTTAGAAACACCGGAATCATCATGTCTGGCGGAATGAGGACCTCCAGGGGGAGGCTTAGGATGGCTGGCACACACACGAGCACGTTTTTAGTCCAACTGACGCACCGCATCAGGGTTCCACATACTAGCATAGTGACCATATATTCTGGAATTTAGGAGATTTCAAGTATTCCGTCTGCTCATTTGTCATATACTTTCTCTCTCACACATTGATTTGTAGCCCAGCCTCTGTAGGGCAGAGAGGCCAGCCTGATAAGCTAATGTGAGGAAATTCCATTTTTCTCATAAAACCACCAGCAGCATCATGGCAGTGGGCTGTATATTTCAGGCCTAGTTCTTTGGACTGATCCATAAAGCTGATGTAGGCTGGTACCCCCCGTTTTCTCTTACTATAATTTTTCTCAAGCACTTTGAATTCATTCCTCCATTTCTGTCACTATCAAATAATAAGAAGCGCTTGCCAGAAAGGGATCGGATCATCTATAGCACCGCTATAATAATTAGAATAGTGAACCTCCAGGTGTGTTCGGAAAGCCCTTATATGTCCAAACCCTACTACATTACACAAGCAAACTCATTCTGTGACTCTCTCTTATTTATAACCTAAACACAAGAGGACTGTGGTTAAGTGGTTCTCTAATGACCCCTTCTTTTAAGAGAAGGCTTGTCTGCATCACAAATATTCCACATAAAATATAAAAGGGGTGGGTCGGGGGAACAAGGGAGCACATCTTCTATTCAAAAGATTAAAACAAGGAATAAAATATTTAGTTAAATCAGGTATGACGCCTTGAGTGAAGAACCTAAATTCTATTTGTATACTTTCCTTCTAAAATTTACCTTTTGTTCTTTCATAAGGATATGGGTCCTAGTTCTTGACTCAGGAAAAAAAAAAAAGGTTGAACACATAAAGTGTCGCTGAAAAGGCCACCGAGGACACTGGGAAGTCACATGACACCTTAACTGTGAAGGCTTCAAAGTTACTTGCAAATCCTGATGAGTGCTTACCCTGCTGTGATCCCTAGGCGGGACAGGAAGTTTCTGCTCAACAATAGAGGAGAAAAAAAACTTTTCATCATATTTTTCTTAGTTCTAAAGCCCAGAAATTTCCCATGTTATTGTATTAACATAATTTTTCTATCACCAAATAGTAATTTAATATAATATTAATATTAAATTGTGATTCAATGAGAATACACACTTCTACTCATCCTCTCCCAAAAGCTATAAAGCTATACTTTTTTATTCATTCAATAAACAATATTGAAGCCTCCTATATGTAAGCGCTGTGGTAAGACAGGATCCCAGACCTCAGGTGCTTCCAGCCTAGCAGGGAAGTCAGACAAGTAGATAAACGATTACTGTGGAGCATGACAGAGGAAGCTACAAAGGAGGACATGTAATTAAACTGGATCAGGCACACTTTCTCAAGGTGGGGGACACTAAGTTGTGTTTTAAAGAGTATGAGGCAGACTAAGTAGGGGAATGCACATTTGAATAAACAGAAACAGCATTGCATTGGTTTGCTAGGGCTGCGGTAATAAAGCATCCCAGTCTGGGTGACTTAAATGACAGAAATTGATAGTTGCACAATTCTGGAGGTTAGAAGTCCCAAATCAAGGTGTTTGCAGGGTTGGTTCTTTCTCAGGGCTGTGAAGGAAGGAGCGATGCCTCTCTCCTTGGCTTATGGAGGGCCATTTCCTTCCTGCGTCTCTACATCATCTTTTCTTTATACATTTCAGTGTCTGTGTCCAAATTTCCCCTTTTTATAAGGACATCTTTCCTATTAAATTAGAGCCCACCTTGATGACCTCATTTTAACTTTATTATCTCTGTAAAGACCCACTCTCCAAACAAAGCCACATTCCAAGGTACTGGAGCTTAGGACTTCAACATATACATATTTGGGGGAGGTGGGGCGCACAATCCAACCGACAACAAGCCTTCAGTTCCCATTTCAAGATGGTGACATAAAAATGTTTCTGCTCCCGTCTTCTCTCAAAGATTACTCTAAGCAGGGGAGGAAATGAAACAAACTCTACCTTCAAAAACCAAGAGATATTTGTATTCCCAGACAAGAATCTATGAAGACAGAGAAGATGAAGAAATGGTAAGTGACTGGAAGAGGAAAAGTGCAAACCTGAAGACGTGTTGGCAAAGAGGCAGAGGACACCCATGGAAGCCAGTTTTCTTCACAGATCAACGCAAGGGCCCAAGAAATGACTGCACCAGTGACTGAGGAAGACAGAATCGAGGGTGGGAAGGTGCCTGTGCCTGCTCCCACCCTGAAAACTGAGGTGCTGTTTTCCCAATCCTGACAGGGAATCAAAAAGTATATCCGTGCATAAACTAAACCTGGCTCGCCTGGTACGGAAGGCAGTGTTGGTCAGACCCCAGGCTGAGAAAGAAGGGCTGTGTCAAGTCCTGCACACGGAGCAGCGAGCCTCTGGGAGCCTTTCCTTGAAGTTTTCTTATGCTCTCTGCACTATTTCCTCTGAGGGGTGGAAGCTGATATTTTATCCACGAAACAAGAACAGATGGTTATTTTAAAATAGCAACAGAGAAAAAAGAAGCTCTTGGCAATCAAAAATATCTCCCCTCCCTTCACAGAATGATAAGCCAGCAAAATATTTAGAAGA